AAACTCAGATCCAGCCCAGAATCCCCCCAAAAAAGGGGATTTTGACCCTCCTTGACTCATCCCTGGTCAAGGAGCTCCTGGAGTTTGATTTCCGAGGGAAAATCTGCTTTCCTCAACATTCCCATCGTTTTAACGGGGAAAACCATTAAGAAAGAGGATTAAAAACGCAAAGACAAAAGCAGGAATGAATTAAAGCCGGCTCCGAACCTCCTCGTCCGTCCGTGGGATGCGAAAAATGCGGCGGGTGACGAAAGAGGACCCCGGCTGCAATTCCCACTTGGATGGTTTTCCCATTATTTATTGCGCTTCTGGTTGGGCAATCGAAACGAGGGAGTAATTAAGAGATGATTGAAAAAAAACCAGCTTTTTTTTTTTGTTGTTTGTTTGTTTTAATCTCACCAGAAGCAATTCCCGCATTTTTCACAACCTGTGGGAAGCTCGGACCCCCTTTCCCTCATCCCACTGATCCCAATCCTATTTCTTGCCCCGGAGCCAGCTCTGGCAGCGGGAAAGGCAGCGCTCCACGATGCTGGAAGTGCAGGAGTTGAGGCGGAACGGGCTCCGTGGGGACGAGCGGGATTTGGTGTCCTTGGAGTCTCCGGCGTCCCCGAGTCCCTGGGATTGGGATGAGCAGGGATCCGTGGAAATCCCGCTTTGGGATGAGCAGGGATCCAGGGAAATCCCGCTTTGGGATGCGCAGGGATCCAGGGAAATCCCGCTTTGGGATGAGCAGGGATCCAGGGAAATCCCGCTTTGGGATGAGCAGGGATCCAGGGAAATCCCGCTTTGGGATGCGCAGGGATCCAGGGAAATCCCGCTTTGGGATGAGCAGGGATCCGTGGAAATCCCACTTTGGGATGTGCAGGGATCCCCCAGGATCGTGCCCTGGGCCTGGCTGGGCTCTTCCACGCTCAACTCCATCACCTGGAGGGCGCAGGGCTCTGGAGCCACGGCTGGGAATTCCTGGGAAAGCTTTTCCAGGTTTTCCGTGCAGGTCCCGGCGGCGTCCGGGGGACACAGCTCCACGGTCAGGATGGATTTCTGGAGCGGGAATGTCATCACGCACATCCCGGGAGTCTCGATGGTGAAGGGCTCCTCTCCCGAGCTCGGGATTTTCACGGGATCCACGCAGGGCAGGGATGGGCAGGTGGCCCCGGGGGGGACCTGAGGGGGGCCACAGGGACAGGAGGGACAAAGGTCATGGCAGGGGCAGGGATCCGCCTGGGAATTCTGCTCCGGGGCCGCCACCGTGCAGGGATTGCTCTGGGCAGCCTCATCCAGGCGGGAACAGGGAGGGCACTGGGAATTCATCTCCCTGCGACGGAGAGCTGGAAGAAAAAAGAACAATTTCACAACCGATCCCGCCAAAAAAATCAGGGAAAATCTCCTCATTTTTTCACATTTCTCCTCAAACTCCCAAACTCAGCTTTTCTCATGAAAATCTGCTCTCAGCCAAACAATTCCAACCATTTTCCAGATTTTTTTTTTCGGCATAACAACGGATTTGATTCACGTTTTCATGTTTATAAATTTCAAGCTGTTTCATTCCCTTCCCCAGTTGCTTTTCCCTTCCCCAGTTGTTTTTCTCTTCCCCAGTTGTTTGGAATGGATCCTGGATCTCCTGGCAGGACAGGATTTAATCCCACTAAATCCAATGCTGGAACAACAGGAATTTTCCAGAGCATCCATGAGAATTCAGGAATTACAACCAAGCCAGCACAAGGGAAGATTTTTTACCCTTTGAAACTTTACCCCAAAGGAAACTGAGCACCATAAATCCCACTTTTCCATCTTCCCCAGGAATACACTCAGGAAAAAGGATCCGTGGGATCCCAAAGAGACTCACCTGGCTCAGGATCGGCAGGACGGAGGCGGCCGCGTTATCCCGGGATGTTCCCGGGATGTTCCCGGGATGTTCCCGGAGCTCCCCACGGCCTCGCTCCGCCTCTGCCCCGCCAGGGATGATTTGCCTAATTATTTTTAATTGAAAACGCCTATTTCCGTGGCCGGAGCTCGGGAATTCACCCGCAGACGCCAGGGAGGAATTTGGGAAATGAGTGGGATTCCCGGCCGGCTCTCCAATAACCACCTGGTGACGGGGCAGGATTTTGGGATGCTCCGGCATCCTCCAGCCCAACACCTCGTGAGGTCCATTAGGGATGTGGGATTTGGGGGATTCCTTTATTTTTAGCCACGCCTGACCTTTTTCCGCCCTGTTTTTCCACGGAGCTGCTGGAAACTCTTCGCTCACCGCTCGTCCCGTGATGTTTTCCGAAGTCCTGACTCAAATCCCGTCTCCGTTGTCCTGGTGATGGTGGCGTTGTCCTGGTGTGAGGAGCAGGCAGGTGACCGGAGGAGTGGCCACCACCCTTTTCCCTTTGTTTTACCCCAAAACAGCCGAATTCCACCCAGCCGGAAATTCATAAACCCAAAAATGTGAATCAAATCTGTCCCTGTCCTCCAATCCCCTCCCGAAAAGAAAAAAGTTGGAAAATCATTGGAATTGTTTGGTTGAGAACAGACTCGAGCAAGAAAAACTCTTTCTGAGGGAACAGCAAAGCAAAAAAAAAAGGCAATTTTTCCTCCAAACTCCCAGCCTAAACAGCCACGAATCCCGAATATTTTTATTACCAGGAAATAACCAAAAACCATCACACTGGGCACCCAAATTTGGAGGGGGAAGAGCCAAACCCCTCCTTGGTCTCCTGGTGGAAATGGCCTCACCTGTGGTGCGTGTCCCCGGTTGTGTCACCGGGTGACTCCGGGCTGGGTGGCAGCGAGCAGGGGAGGAATTCCAGAGCCTTTGATGTCTCGGGAGAACTGGTTGGGTTTCTCCTCCTTCTTTTCCAGGCTGGGATGGATTTTCCGCAGGGAGAAGACGGCGGCTCCTGGCCTCGTGAAGTTTGTCACCTTCTCGGGCTGGGCGTCACCTCCCGGCACCAGAAACGGGCACAAAAACGAACCCAAAGGCCACCGAGATCCAAGAGCTCGTCCCTCATCGCCCTGGGTGTCACCTGCTGGAGCTGGGAGATCCTGGAGATCCTGGGGAATGTGGAGATTCCCCTGGAGGACAACAAATCCCAACAAATCAAATCAAATTTGTGTTAAAAAGAGAAAATCGAAGAATTGTGGCAAAAACGAGCAGTGGGACCCAGGGCAGGGATTGTCCCCTGGGGAATGTCCAGTGCTGTGTCCAGCTCTGGACAATTGTGGAAAGGGACGTGGAGGGGCTGGAGTTGGAGCCAGGGATGGGAACGGGGCTGGGGAAGGTTCTGGAAAATCCTGAGGGAGATGGGGGGGCTCAGCCTGGAGAAAAAGGGGATTCAGGAGGAATTTTGGGCTCTTCCAGGGGGGATTTGGGATCCGATCCCAGGGAATGCGGCCAAGACAAGAGGGAACGGCCTGGAGCTGTGCCAGGGGAGGTTCAGGGTGGGAAATTTGGGAAAATCCCTCCTGGAAAAGGGGAAAAACCTCAGAAGGGGCTCAGGGAAGGTTTGGAGTGGCCATCCCTGGAGGAATTCCTGGACCACATCTGGAGCTGTGTCCGATTGGGGTCCCACAGCTGAGACCACCCAGATGTTCCAGGGACCTTGAGGAAAAAGCGGATTTGGACACTCCAAAGGATTTTCCCACCCCAGAAAGGATTTGGGGACGATCCTGGGGCCTCCTTGAGTCATCCAAAATATTCATGGAAAAGCTCTTCCCACCGAGGCAAATTCCCAGATTATCGGGAACAAAACTCCCAAGCAGAAGGAATTCTGTGAGCAAGCCAGGCCCCTTCCAAAATCCCATCCCAACTCTGCAAGGAAATGCACCAAAACCTCGTTTTTCCCCCCGAGAGTTTAATCCCGAGGGGGATTGTTTCCAGGCTGTCTCATCCGCTCCGCACTTCCCAGTCCGTAGGAAATTCCTGGATGGGGAATTCCTCGCAGTCATAAGAGTCTCACGTCCCACCTCGGCGACATTAAAAATTATAATGTCAAGCGGAGTAATTGAAGGATTGGAGCAGAGCAGGTCTGGATTATTAAATATTTGATTTCCATACCCCTCAGGTGTCTCACTTCCGGAGCCGCGGACACCGAAATCCTATAAAAGGATTCCTATTCCCCAGTTCCTCAAGCCATTTTTGGTTTCATTTGGTGCTGCCTGGTGGAGAATTGGGTAAGTCCGGCTCGGTTTCCCGGGAAGTCACCTGGTGCTTGGGGTTTTAATTTTTTTATTTTGGAGCCGCGCAGAAGCAAATTAAGAGACTTAAAAGTGTTTCTGGCTTGGGGATATTGGCATTGGGATTCCCCCAGATTTTAATTCCGTCTTCTCCGGGGTTTATTCGCTGTGGGTTTTGCTCTTTCTCGGTGGAGGAAGACAAAATTCTCTCTCTCTGTCTCCTGACCGGCTTCACCCGGGGAATTGTTGGAATTGGGAGAGATCAAAAGGCCAGGCTGGGACTTCAAAGGGGAGGTGTGGGAGGGGTGATAACGAGTGGAGACTCTGGGGCTGCCGGGGAAGGAGGAACTGCAAGGTTCTCTCTCTCTGCCCGCAAGGAGGAACCGGGGTGGGAAGAGCCGGGCAGATTTTATGGGAAAAGCAGCGGAGCCTTTCCTTGGGGAGCTTTTCCAGCCTGGAACCCCCACTGGTGTCCTCTGGATGAGGGCGAGGTGATCCGGAGCCTTTTTGGGTGAAGTTAGGGAAGGAATGGGAAAGTTTCATCCTTTGGTGTGGGCAGGTGGAGGCTTCAGACCTTCCAGAAACCCTAAAGGAGCCCAGATCATTTCTGCTTCCTGTTTTGAGAGGAAATTGTTTGAAAATAGCTACAAATTTGTCTGAAATGCTTCAATGTGGAGTCACTTCCTCCCCACGGCTGTTTGTCCCAGTTCAGGATTCTGTGGGGGAAAAAAAAAAAAGGTGATTTAATTTTGGGTACAAAACAGCCCGGAATGTTCTCACACCTTTTAAATTTTAACCCTTTCCTGCTTCCAGCCTCCCCCACGTTCCCCCCAAAAATGCGTCGCCCCACGGGCTGCCCGCTGAGCCAGATCTGCATCCCCCCTCCCGCCGTCCTGGCGCGAAGCTTCCCCGTGGGATCCAGCCTGGATTCCTGCGGCACCGGCGGAAGCTTCCAGTGCCTCCCTCCCCGCGGGATCCCCTGCTGCTACCCCGGCACCACCACCTATGTCAGCCTGGGCGGCCTGGCCGCGGCCCAGGCCACCGGCTGCGCCAATCCCTGCGGCCTGGTGGCCACCACGCGTGTCCCCCCATGCTGCCAGGGCCTGGCCGGGGTCACCAGGACCTGCGGGAACCCCTGCTGCTGCTGCTGCCGGGTGACCGAGTACAGCACCACCAGGCGGGATTGCTGCCAGGAGGTGGGCAAGAGCTCCACAGCCACCTGTCAGGACCCGTGTTGTCAGGAGGTCACCACGTGTGTCACCACCTGTCAGGACCCGTGTTGTCAGGAGGTCACCAAGTGTGTCACAACGTGCCAGGATCCGTGTTGTCAGGAGGTCTCCAAGTGCACCACGACATGCCAAGATCCGTGTTGTAAGGAAGTCACCACGTGTGTCACCACGTGCCAAGATCCATGTTGTAAGGAGATCACCACGTGTCAGAATCCGTGTTGTCAGGAGATCTCCAAGTGTGTCACCACGTGTCAAGATCCGTGTTGTCAGGAGGTCTCCAAGTGTGTCACCACATGTCAAGATTCATGTTGCAAGGAGGTCACCAAATGCACCAGGACATGTGTGGAGCCCTGCCGCAAGGAGGTCACCAAGTGTGTCACCACGTGTCAAGATCCATGTTGTAAGGAAGTCACCACATGTGTCACCACATGCCAAGATCCATGTTGTAAGGAGGTCACCAAGTGCCAAGATCCATGTTGTCAGGAGGTCACCAAGTGTGTCACCACGTGTCAAGATCCATGTTGTAAGGAAGTCACCACATGTGTCACCACGTGCCAGGATCCGTGTTGTCAGGAGGTCTCCAAGTGTGTCACCACGTGTCAGGATCCGTGTTGTAAGGAGGTCACCACGTGTGTCACCACATGCCAAGATCCATGTTGTAAGGAGGTCACCAAGTGCCAAGATCCATGTTGTCAGGAGGTCACCAAGTGTGTCACCACGTGTCAGGATCCGTGTTGTCAGGAGGTCACCAAGTGTGTCACCACGTGTCAGGATCCGTGTTGTAAGGAAGCCACCAAATGCACCAGGACATGTGTGGATCCCTGCTGCCAGGAGGTCACCAAGTGTGTCACCACATGCCAAGATCCATGTTGTAAGGAGGTCACCAAGTGTGTCACCACATGCCAAGATCCGTGTTGTAAGGAAGTGACCACGTGCCAAGATCCGTGTTGTAAGGAAGTGACCACGTGCACCACCACGTGTGTGGACCCGTGTTGTAAGGAGGTCACCAAGCGTGTCACCACCTGCGTGGACCCCTGCTGCCAGGAGGTCTCCAAGTGCATCACAACATGTCAGGATCCGTGTTGTAAGGAGGTCACCACGTGTGTCACCACGTGCCAGGACCCCTGCTGTCAGGAGGTCACCAAGCGTGTCACCACCTGTGTGGACCCGTGTTGTCAGGAAGTGTCCAAGTGTGTCACCACGTGCGTGGACCCCTGCTGTCAGGAGGTCACCAAGTATGTCACCACGTGCGTGGACCCGTGCGGCAAGAAAGCCACCAGGGTCCTGACGCCGTGTTACGACCCCTGCTGCAAGAAGGTGACCAAGTGGAGCAGCCCGTGGGTGATTCCGTGGTGCAAGAAAGGGGCCAAGTCCAGATGTGGAGACCCCTGTTCCAAGAAGGGGAGCAAGTGCAGCTCCAGATGTGTGGACCCGTGTTACAAGAAGGTCCCCAAGTGCCCCACCACGTGCCAGGATCCGTGCTGCGTGACCAGGTGTGACCCCAGGTGTGTGGACCCGTGTTGTCAGGAGGTCACCAAGTGCAGAACCAGGTGTGTGGACCCGTGTTGTCAGGAGGTCACCAAGTGTGTCACCACGTGCCAGGATCCCTGCTGTGCCACCAGGTGTGTCACTAGGTGTGTGGATCCGTGTTCCAAGGAGGTCACCAAGTGTGTCACCACGTGCCAGGATCCCTGCTGTGCCACCAGGTGTGTGGACCCATGTTGCAAGGAGGTCACCAAGTGTGTCACCAAGTGTGTGGATCCGTGTTGCAAGGAGGTTACCAAGTGCATCACCACGTGCCAGGATCCCTGCTGTGCCACCAGGTGTGCCACCAGGTGTGTGGACCCATGTTGCCAGGAGGTCACCAAGTGTGTCACCAAGCGTGTGGATCCGTGTTGCAAGGAGGTCACCAAGTGCACCACGACATGCCAGGATCCGTGTTGTGCCACCAGATGTGTCACCAGCTGTGTCGATCCCTGCTGCCAGGAGGTCACCAAGTGTGTCACCAAGTGTGTGGATCCCTGTTGTGCCACCAGGTGTGTGGATCCCTGCTGCCAGGAGGTCACCAAGTGCACCACGATGTGCCAGGATCCATGTTGTGCCACCAGATGTGCCACCAGCTGTGTCAATCCCTGCTGCCAGGGAGCGACCACGTGCTGCCAGGGGGTGACCAGGTGTGTCACCACGTGCCAAGATCCCTGCTGTGCCACCAGGTGTGTCACCCCGTGCCAAGACCCCTGCTGCCAGGGAGCGACCACGTGCTGCCAGGATGTCACCAGATACGCCACCAGGTGCCAGGACCCCTGCTGTGCCACCAGATGTGTCACCACGTGCCAAGACCCCTGCTGCCAGGGAGTGACCACCTGCACCACCATGTGCCAAGACCCCTGCTGCCAGGGAATGACCACCTGTCCCACCCCGTGCCAAGACTCCTGCTGCCAGGGAATGACCACGTGCTGCCAGGACGTCACCAGATGTGCCACCAGGTGCCAAGACCCCTGCTGTGCCACCCCTCAGGGCTGCGGGGGCGTCCAGGTTGTCACCAGGTGCTCCGACTCCTGCTCCACCACCTGTGTCACCCAGACCTGCCCCATCTGCGGCCAGCGCTGCCCTGTCTCCTGCTGCCCGAAATTCCGGGCTCCCTGAGGGGATCCCGCTCCCCTCGGGGGGTTTCCCCGTGGAATCTCCAAGGGAAGAGTAAATCCTCAATTTTTCCTGGCGTTCTGCCTCGTTCCTGCTGTTTTTAACCTCAAGAAAGCGCCTTTCCTCGCGGGATGTAACCGAGAGATTTTGTGCCCCCGGGATTGCTCCCCGGGAGAAAGAATCTGCAGTTCCCCCTCGCAGCGGAGGAATTCCCCTCTTCCTTCTTCCCCCTGATCCTTTTCCTTTCCGTATCTGAAGCAATAAAAGAAACGATCTTGGCATCGGCCTCGTGCATTTCCTTCGCTTCCCTTTTATCCTTTTAATTCCTTTCTTAAAATCCCGATTTTTGTAAAAGAAAAATAAATGCTTGGGAAAGGTCTTGCGGGGATCATGGAGTGCCCTAGGATGGAAGGGGCACACAGGGATCATCAAATCCAGCTCCGGGCCCTGCCCAGGACATCCCAAAATCACACCGTGTCCATGGGAGCATTGTCCTGGTGGGTTTGGGATGTGGTGACCGTTCCGTGGGGTCAGCGCTCCCACATTCCTGTGGGAAGAACCTTTTCCCAAAACCCATCCCAATTCCCAACCCCTGGCACAGCTCCAGCCCTTCCCTCAATCCTGACACTGGCCTGATATCCCAGATCAATGGATGATGTCCCAGATCAATGGCTGATATCCCAGATCAATGGCTGATATCCCAGATCAATCCCAGATCAATCCCTGATCTATCCCAAATTAATCCCAGATCTATCCCAGACCAATCCCAGATCAATGGCTGATATCCCAGATCAATGCCAGTTCAATCCCACCTCAATCCCAGTTCAATCCCAGACCAATCCCAGACCAATCCCAGTTCAATCCCAGACCAATCCCAGATCAATCCCAGACCAATCCCAGATCAATCCCAGATCAATCCCAGCTCAATCCCAGCTCAATCCCAGCTCATTCCCACGTGCTGACAAAACACCCGGAAAACCCCAAATAAAGCGGAACATCCCTGCTCTCCCACCCATCCCAAACCCCCGGTGCGGGTCAGGACCATCCCAGGAGATTCCCGAGGAAGGAGAACGGCCCGGGGAGGCTTCGGGGAGCAAATCCCGCTTGGAACGCGGGCAGGAGGAGCGGGGGCGGCGGCAGACGGGGTGGAACCGTCTGGAAGCCGCCACCATCTCCTCCAAAGATGCCCCAAGGGCTTGGTGACAACCTCGGAGCTCCTCTGTTCCCTCCTCTCTGCAGGGAGAACCTCTCCAAAACTCCTCGAAAATTCCTTTCTGGAATTTTCTGCGCCAGAAAGTTTCCTCCACCCCTGCTCCCAAGTCTCTGTTTTCTGGGAAATAAAATGCAGGTGGGAAAATAAATCGGTTTTGGATCAGTTTTTCCCTTCTGGCGCGGTATTTAATCCTTCAGATATCTGAAAAATTCAGATTTAAATCGCCTCGGAGCAGCAGAGAGCAGAAACACCATTTCCAGGGGAAAAAAAACCAAATCCAGACGGGAATTCTACCTGCGTGAGCACCTGGATGTTTATTCCACACCTGTGAAATTAAAACAGGCAGAAAATCACTGCTCACTGCAAGAAAAAGTTGTAGAATCGCTCTGTGGGGTGAAGTTCTCCGAGCTCTAAAATTTCCACGGAGATCAAAGCAATCTTATTCACAAAAGTAAAATAAAAATATCCAGAGGAAATCCAGAGATTTTTCCTGAAAAAAAAAAAAAAAAAAAAATCGAGAAAAATCAGATATAAAAGAGGTGAGGAATTAATTTTTTGGGGTTTTTTTGGTTTGTTTTTGTTTTTTTTGGTTTGGTTTGGTTTTTTTTTTTTTTGGGGGTTTTTTTTTCCATAACCACAGCCAGTTCCTCCTTCCCAGATTTAATTACCCAGGTGCTAATTGTCATTCTTCCCCGAGCGCTCACCTTCCGGAGTAAACAGGAAAAGAGGCTGGAATGGTGGGATTTGGGTTCCTCCGGGAACCGGGACCTCGTGGCTGGATCCAAATCCTGCCTCGGGCACGGGCTGAAGGAGCCGCTCACGTCCATGTGAGGCTCAGTGTCCTCTTCTCTCATCCTCCCGGCATCCCAAAAATTCCAGGATTCCCGGAGCCACCTGGCAGCCGGCTCAGACCCTCCCGCCTTCCCTGGGATCTTGTGGGAATGAGGAGAGGGGAAAGCTGGGTCTGATGAGGGCCCGGGAGGTTTAATTGTGGAGAGATCAGTCAGGAAAATGGGGAGAATCCCTGATTTCCCTGGGAATCGATGGAAATATGCAGGAAAAAATTCCTTTTCTTGCTTGGGAAAATGGGAATCCCGCACGGGGTTGGAGCTCGACCCCGTGTCCAGTTCTGGACAATCATGGAAAAACGGACAAGGAGGGGTTGGAGCGTGGCCAGGGATGGGAATGGGGCTGGAGCAGCTGGAGAAGGTTCTGGAAAATCCTGAGGGAGCTGAGGGGGCTCAGCCTGGAGAAAAGGGGGATCCAGGGGGAATTTTGGGCTCTTCCAGGGGGGATTTGGGATCTGATCCCAGGGAACAGGGACAGGACAAGAGGGAACGGCCTCGAGCTGTCCCAGGGGAGGCTCAGGGTGGGAAATTTGGGAAAATCCCTCCTGGAAAAAGGGAGAAGCCTCGGAAGGGGCTCAGGGAGGGTTGGATCCCATCCCTGGAGGTGTCCAAGGAATTCCTGGATGTTGGTCCGGGTCACCAGGTGGTGACCGGGCACAACTCGGACTCAATGCTGTGGGAGATCTTCCCCAAGCTCCAGGATTTTGGGATCCTGGGAAATCTTTGTCCCTCCAGCACAAGATGGGGCTGGACCCTTTGAGCTGGGGGTGCTGCCCTCACGGAATTCCCTCCCGGAATTCCCTCCTGACCCACTCGGGGAGGAGTCACCGGGGCCACCGGAGGACGTGGCTGCAGGGTCCTGACTCACCGGCACCAACGTGACGACTCCAAGGGCTCCAATTGCCCATAAACGTAATGGAGATTCCCAAATAATCCCCAATTAGGGATAACCACCCCAACCCCCTTGACGTTCCCACCCGCTGGCAGCACGGATCCCTTTACGTCTCCCGAATTAATCCGCCTTTGGAAGGCTCCAATTTCTCGCTAATCAAAGCTAACGACGGGGTGGAAAATAACTCGGGGTGGAAAGGCGCAGGACCGGTCCTCAGAGATGGTTTTGAGGTGAGCCTGGAGCCTGAGGAGATAATGAGGAGCCGTTCCGACTGGAATATGGGATATTCCTCAGGAAGATAAGAGCTGGAAGCAGCTCTGGGGGGAAAATTTCCACACCCGGCAGCTCGAGGAGGAGAAAACGAGGAGGGATTCGTCTGCCTAAAATTCCAGCTCCCAAATCCGAGCCCTGCCGGGTGCAGTTTCTCCTCCCGTGGCAAAGGAGGTGTTTAAGACGAGCAAACCACACTCCGCGGATCCAAATTTATCCCTGGAAAAGCCTCCGGGGCAGCGGAGCCTCCCGGAGAGGGGGCAGGAGCTGAGTCTGTGGAAAAGCTGAGCCACCAAAAGCCGCGGAGATCCGTCGGCTCCAGCTGGAATTCCTGGGAAGGAACCGGTGCTGACGCCTGGAATTCTCTGGGAGACTCCGGGTTTGGGGAATAAACAGGACTTGCTGCTCGTGCTGGGTTGGTTGGTTTTGGGTGGTTTTTTTTCCCCCCCTGTTTAACATTCTTGTGATGGTCACGTTCCCACCTCCGTGGCTGGAATACCTGGAAGAAACGTGGATTTTCCGTAATCAGCAAAAGTTTAATAAAAATTGTATCCCGGGCCTAAATCCCACTTAAACTGGAGCTTTTTTGTGCTTTTGTGGGAGGGAAAAACATCTTTAAAATGAGGATTATTATTGAAATGTTCCTCAAAGGAGACGGAGTTGTGTCCCTGTTGGAATTTCCAAGCACGGATGGTTAATCCATGGAGAGGAGTGGGTCAGATGAATGAAATAATTTAATTTACCAGGAAAACAGGTACCTCGGGGTTTTGTGGGAGCGCTGGAGGATCGGTTGTGCCTTTCCATGAGAATTAGGACGGGTTCTTTCTCATAGTAAATCCAATTAATTATCCATCTTCCCTAATAACAGCTGGAAAAACCCCAGGTATCAAAACCCAACATTTATGGAAATAAGGCCGTGGAAACGTCCCGGCGCATTAAAACCCTTCCTAAAAACCAATTAATTCATCACCCGCTGGTTTGCTGGGTTGTTTTTTTTAATGACCCCGCCATTCCCGTTGGGAATGACCAGGATGGGAGCGGGGCTGGCTCAGCATCACCTGCTTTCCTGGAAGAGGGCTTCCACCAAAAATTAGGATGCAAACAAACATGCAAAGCATGTGGAGGTGGAGCCTGCCGGGGCAGTTTGTGGTCAGCTGTCCGTCCCCCTGGGCTCCCGCGCTTCCGGAGCTGACGCCACTCCGGCCGTATAAAAGGTTTGGATTTGGAGGCTCCCGCCAGTTCCTTTGGCTTCTCCGTCGCTCGCCAGGACCGGTGACCCGGTAAGTTCTCCTTGGCTTTATCAGGGAATTTTTATCAGGATATCTCGTGGAGAAGAGAGTTCATTCCGGGTCTCGGGAATGCTTCGCTCCCGTGCGTCTCTTCCGGGGATTTTCCTGGAATTGGGGATTTTTATTTAGGGTTTGCTCTGGCTGGAGGAGCTCGGAGAAGTCACCTCCTCCGAAAGCGTGGCTGCCTCTCCTTCTCCCTCCTGCTTAATTTGCTCCTGCCTCGTTAAGGCTGGGAATTAAATAAATTAATGGATGCTGCGGAACAGCTCCCGGGACTTCAAACGGGATGGGTGGGAAGAGGCTTTATCCGGGAGGAGGGAGCTGCAGGATTCCTGCGGGCAAAGCCAGGGGAGACCTCTGGGAGAAGCCAGGAGGAGGAAATGAGTTGGGAATGGGCGCTGCAACCCTTCCCTCAACAATGGATGAGCCACGTTTATCCCCACCCCAAAAAAATTCCGGTGGTGTCCCAGGATCTGGAGGATCATCGGGATGGGAGAGCTGGGAATGTTCGGCCTGTGGAGACCTCAGCTCCAGGATCTGCAGGGAAGACTTAGAGGGATTTTTCCTCAGGAACTGGAGAGGCAGGAAAAGGGGGAAAGGGTTTGCACTGAAATAGGGGAAAATTAGGTTGGATCTGGGGAAGGAACTGCGAGGCCCCGGTTATTCCAGGTTATTCCAGGGATTCCACATCCCTGGAAGCGTCCAAGGCCAGGTTGGACAGGTCTTGCAGCAACTCGGTCTGGGTTGGAAGCAGATGGTCACTGAGATCCCTCCCAACCCAAACCACGCCACGATTCCGTGGGATGATGGCGGGATTTGTGGCCTCTGGGCTTTGTGGTTGGGAATTCCCAGCACGGGGGACTGGCCCAGGTGGGTGGAGGATCCAAAAAGGAAGAGATAAACCCTGGAACATCTGCCGATGGATCCCAGAATAGCAGGAATTGAAGAATTTTTGTCTTCTGGCTTCTACTGAATTGGACTCCGGGCAATCCCAGAGTAAAATTCAGGAATTACGGCTCGAGGATTCCTGATAGGTTCCCAATGAAGAAAGGGATTCTCTGGCAGCGTAATTCCATTAATAATTCCATAAGTCCCCGGGATTAGCTCAGACCGTGGCGCTCACAACGCCGAGCTCATGGATTTGATCCCTGCAGGGGCCATTCCTGGAGAGCTGGACTTGGTGTGATCCTTCTGGGTCCCTTCCAACTCCAGAACCCTGGAATCCTGGACACAGGTGGCTTTTCCCAACATTCCTCAGCCGAACCTTCCAAGACCTCACACGGACCCATACCCTGACTTTCTCTTTTTTTTTGTCTCTTTCCCAGCTTTTTCCCAAGCTTTTTCCCAGCTTTTTCCCAGCTTTTCCCCAGGATGTCCTACTACTACGAGCAGTGCAAGCAGCCCTGCCTGCCCCCTCCCATCTGCCTGCAGAAGTGCGCCAAGTGCCCGGAGCCCTGCGCCGCGCAGTGCGTCGAGGTCTGCCAGGCCCCCTGCGCCAGCCAATGCGCCACCGCCTGCGTGCCGCAGTGCGCCGACGTCTGCGCCGAGCCCTGCGTGCCGCAGTGCGCCGACGTCTGCGCCACGCCCTGCGCCACCACGTGCGCCACCCAGTGCGCGGAGCCCTGTGTCCCGCAGTGCGTCGACGTTTGCGCCACCAGCTGCGTCCCGCAGT